AATATATTAATTAAATATAATACACTAACACGGTGTGATATGATACAAATGAATATATATATTTATTTCATCACTCCATTGAGGCAATCAGTGCCTGCCTGTAGCAGTCATCTGCAAGTGGAGAAGTCCTTCCCAGGCTGCAGGGCACCTCCTCTCCCCATGGGCAGGGGTCAGCTCCTGGGGAACCCCTGGTTTCTGCTCCAACTCCCCAAATACCCCAGAGGGTTTTGGGTTGCCTGGCAAGATGGAAGGTGGCTGGGGTGAGCTGCCTGGTGTGGGTATTTCCGTGCTTGCCAGCAGCATGGAAAGTCCCTGGGAGAGCAAAAATCCTTTCCCAGTGGGATTGCTGTGCCAGCAGACAAGTAAGTAAAAAGAAGACAAAGACACATGGGATTAGGAGTAAAGATCTGTGGGACGTGAAGGGAGACTGTGGAGGTCATCGGTGAGAGATCGTCAGCACACATCGCTAAAACTTCACTCCCCCCTAATGGTGTTTAACAGCTACTGCTGTTGTATTTTGAAGTTTCCTCTCCCAATATTCAGTAAGATAGGCGTTTGCTGGCAAAATAATTCCTGCAAAATATTCAGTGTGACTTTGGGAAAGCTGTTTCTCATGCTGCAGTACGGTCTGTTTCTTTTAACCTGATGTGACTATTACAGCTGTGACTGTCAACAAGTCCTGGGGAAATCCAGTGCGATGGCTGGAATGATTTTGCAAGCTGTTCTAGTAACAGCACATAGACATGGAAAGAACAGGGTTTAGTAGCAATGGAGGCTTTAGGGTTTTGGTCAAACAACTCACTGCTGTGACGGTTTCCATACAGGGTTAAATCCTTCCTGGCAAAGCCTGGGAATCTCCTACACTTGCAATAATGAGTCTTGAAGCAGCATAATAGCTATTGTCAGTTTAAACAAACAAATCTGTGTCTGGCACCTCTCCTTTGCTTTGCCTTCCTTTTTTTCTCCCATACAGGTGTAACGTTACGACCTGATGTTTATGGGGATAGAGGACTACAAATTTATTACAACGTATCTGACAACAAAACCTGGGAAGGTTTAGTGACAACTCTTCAGACTTTTCTAACAGGTAAAAATGAGGTTTCCTGCATAATACTGAAGAAATGTGCTGTCAGCATCTCCCGTGTAGGTCTGAGGACCTTAAGTCAGTGTTTCCATTTCACATTTGTCCTTCTGAAATCACAGATTTTGAGTGGAAGATACATCTTCTAAAAGGGACAAGCAAATCGCCTCATGAATCTATAAATGAAACATATTGAAACATGTCTATTAAAAGCAGAGCCCTGCTTCAGAGCTTTTACTGTGTTTAATCCTAAATAGCCTTAATAAAATAGGCCAATAAAAAGTTGGAAGGAAGAGCAAGAAAAAAAGGTCTTTAAAAGTAGCCTGTCTAAATTAATCTCATGCTGCCCGTGACTACAAATATCAAAGTGCCATAATAAGTCTTGTGAAGCCTTTGCATAGTGTCATCAGGGAGCATAGTCAAAGTAGGTTAGACGCTCCATTTTCCTGTTTATATCTTAACACATTTATGTTCCTCTTGAGCCTATATATCATCTCATACTCATACTGAAAAAATTGTATTTGAAATTGACTTTATAGGGAGCTATCAACACAAATTGCCAGCCTTAACTCATCTTGATCTCTTTCTTTTTTTGCTTTGTCTGGGTACTACATGGCCATGATGTAACCCCCAGCCTAATACTGGGATGTATAGCTTTCACATGAAAAAACTTCAGAGGGGAATTTTTCTTTCTCCCTTCACACATCTAGCATATACTCCAGCTGCTCAGCACCTGAACATCAACTGCACCAGTGACATCTACTTCTTCCAGGACACCTTTGACGGCCCGAATAAAACAAAACTGTCCTGCAAATTTACCTCAGATATGCTTCAAAACTGCTCTGGCATCCCAGATCCGACTTTTGGATTTCCAGAAGGAAAACCCTGCTTTATTATAAAAATGAACAGGGTAAGTACAAGCTCAAGGTGCTGAAGAGGAAAAAATTCACCAAGAAACCCCTGATAGCTCAAGTCTCTGCTGGGCAGCTGCTGTTTTGTCTGCTGCCATGGGTTTTAATCTCTGCTTTGTTCCGGGAGGAGAAATTCATATACTTTTCCAAAGAGAACTCCAGAGTTACCAGACAAATAGTGAGACTTGCTTACTATCCCTAGAGAAGTAACGTAGGGCAAAGTGATGACTGAAATGACTTTCGAAAGCTTTGGCTTTCATTTAGTTTTATTAGCATTTCCATAGCTCTCTCATCCAACTAACTAGCACCTAAAAGAGTTTTGTTCTGCAATACCATGATCCTGTGCGTTCAGCTGAGGCATTAAGATGTGGTAGTAACTGAAGTGATTCCAGAGAGGTGATACTTGCACACCTTATTTCTCCAGGCAGCAAAGGAAATATTTAGAAGAACCTATAAAAACAGAATTCAAACCCAGAGGATATTTTCTTCAGTGAAAACCACCAACATTTTTTTTTTGGAGAGCGAAGAGGGAATCTTCTATGCTTCCTTCATTTTTTTTTTTCAGGACATAGACAAAAGCATAAGCATTTTATTTTGTTTTCAGGTAAAATTCTGAGCCTTCCAGCTCTGTTTTGGTAGAAAGGGAAGAGCTCAAATTCTCCTCCAGTTCCTGACAGATAAAATCACTTGGTTTTTTGTTTTCACCCTCAACATTTTCAAGAATCTGTGCAAGATCTGACTGTGAGAGGAGAGCTGTGCTCCTAGTTTTGTCAGGCTTTTCCAAGAAAAGCCTGTGCTTCCTTCAGCAAGACTGCACACCAACCCTGGCAGGTGAAAGGATAGTGCCTGGGAAGCTTTGCTTCCTTCCACCTTTGCTTCTATAGGATGCAAGCCCACTATTTTTGCAGGATCAAATGGACCCAAGGGTTTCTGCCAAAGCCAAAGTTTTCTAACAAGGCATAAGATGAAAACCAAAGAGATTCAGCTTTTCCTCTGTTGTCATGCAATTAGCTGGTTTAAGAGACCCCTGGCTGCCCGGGCATCAGAAGGAGCAAGTGGCACATGTGGGTAAATGGGCTAGACCTGCCTGGATGCTCAGTGCTACCTGCCCTGGCCAGGCTAGAGCCTATCTGCCATGCCCATTCCAGGCACTGCAGAGCCCTGCTTCCCAAATACCCAGCCATGACGTGGCTTTTCACCCACATACAGAAGATGACATGATCTGGTTGGCAGTGCTTTATGCAGAAATACATCAGCCATCCTTTGAAGCTCAGATAATAATTTGCTTGTTTTTCATCTCAAAACAGTTCCCAAGATGTCCAAATGTGTGTTTTCTATTTCAGATTATCAACTTTCTCCCTGGCAACGGCACTGCACCAAGGGTGAACTGCACATATTTGGTAAGTGTATGAGGTCCAAGTCTCAAAAATTTCAATCACTGCAGCTCTGAGAGTGGGTCAAGTGCAGTTGTGACCAGAAAGATCACTCTGCAGCTCTGGACATCAGATCATTCTGGCTAAATACTGGGAATATTCTCAGCTCTGTGCAATGTTTTGCACCAGCAGGCATCATAGAATGGTTTGAGTTGGAAGGGACCTTAAAGATCATCTAGTTCCAAGCCCCCTGCATGGGCAGGGACACCTCCCACTAGTCCTGTTTTATTAAAGCCCTGTCCTGGCCTAAGAACATCCTAAGAACAAAAAGCAAACAAACAAAGAAATAAACAACCCAAACCAAACCCAAACATTTGCTTTATTTTACATCACAATTGTTTTTCTGTGCTGCAGAGAACATTTGCAGTTTTCTCTCAGCTCCCACTACTGAAGTTCATGCCTCAGCTCAGCTGCTTCAGGCTCTTTGCCTGTTTATGCTGCCTGATACGCTGG